TAGTGGGGGAGAAAAAAAATGGGTGGGTGAAAAAAAAATAATGGGTGAAAGAAAAAAAATGGGTGGGAGGAAAATATATATTTCTAAGTTTTTTGCGTTCTCTCGCAAAGTTTTGCGTTCCCTCGCAAAGATGTTTTGCGTTATCTCGCAAAGATGGTTTGCGTTCCCTCGCAAAGATGTTTTGCGTTCCCTCGCAAAGATGTTTTGCGTTCCCTCGCAAAGATGTTTTGCGTTATCTCGCAAAGATGTTTTGCGTTCCCTCGCAAAGATGTTTTGCGTTCTCTCGCAAAACTGTTTCTCCACAAACACTTCCTGTTCACTGCACTCACGTAAACCCTCCCGTTTTTGCCGAAATTCTCTCATATTTTACCATTCTACCCCACTTTCTTTACATTACTGTGCGTATGCTACATGAACCAGTGAATGCATGTATAAGCGCTGACTGACAGACGCGCTCCATACAATAAACTGATCCTAGATCAGCGTCTGTACGCGCCATTTAAAGGGACACTTCTGTTATCAAACAAGTGAGCAGCAAATGAATCTCATGTTTTGTTTAGTTTGATAACAGAGGTGTCTCTGTAAGAATGCACAGATCTATAATGAAAGCAGTCCATTACTTTAGAAACTGTTTGTGCTCATTTAAGAGAAAATAAGCTGTTTAAAATAAAACATGCAGGACGGAGATGTTTCATATTATTCAGTGTATTTGTCTGTTTAAACATACACCCGCTCCTCTGTAAATGGCGTGTACAGACGCTGATCTGGGATCAGTTTATTGTACGAAGCGCGTCTGTCAGTCAGCGCTTATACATGCATTCACTGGTTCATAGGTAGCATACGCACAGTAATGTAAAGAAAGTGGGGTAGAATGGTAAAATATGGGAGAATTTCGGCAAAAACGGGAGGGTTTACGTGAGTGCAGTGAACAGGAAGTGTTTGTGGAGAAACAGTTTTGCGAGAGAACGCAAAACATCTTTGCGAGGGAAAGCAAAACATCTTTGCGAGATAACGCAAAACATCTTTGCGAGGGAACGCAAAACATCTTTGCGAGATAACGCAAAACATCTTTGCGAGAGAACGCAAAACATCTTTGCGAGATAACGCAAAACATCTTTGCGAGGGAACGCAAAACTTTGCGAGAGAACGCAAAAAACTTAGAAATATATATTTTCCTCCCACCCATTTTTTTTCTTTCACCCATTATTTTTTTTTCACCCACCCATTTTTTTTCTCCTCCACTACGTCCCTTCCGGGGTTCCGTAGTCACTTGTATCTGGACTATGCAGGTGTAAGTAATATGAATCATCCACATATCTTTTGCAACTTCATTATCTGAGATGTGAAACGCATGGAAAAGCTGCCTGAAGACAATCAGTGCAGTTGCGCGCGCATACAGATAAGAGACACAAACGTGCTAGTGGAGTGTGTGTGTGTGTTTACAGCAGTTTGACTGATAAATGTGAATTTGTAGCTAAATCAATCAAGTACATGTCATGATTAATTTTAACAAATAAAAACACTTACTGGTTGTACCTGACATCTTCTGCTGAGGAGATTTTAGCCGAATCCCGCACTGAACTGGGAGAGCTGTTTTGTCAAATCATGCTTGCTATGTATTTTATAATTCTCTGGAACATGATTAATATTGAACTGTAAGCACTTCTGTCTTTGTGTTGTGTCCTTTAGAAGCCCAAATACAGAAACAGACGAAGCTCTGTGGAAACAGCCGTGTTTAGATGCATTTTTAGCTTCATCTCTGCAATAACATTACAGCGCCTCTGGCCACGGCCCTTACCTGCTCAGTTTGGATGCGCAGTAACGAACTTTTGTGATGTCACAGGGGGCGGAGGTATTTTTTTGTAGTCCCCAAAATTCGTTCATTGTAGGCTTTGCTAAGGTTACTCTGTAAAAACAAAGGTCTCCCTTTGCATTGAACTTGGAACTTTTTACATTCAAAGATGTTGTTTATGTTTACACAGCTACATTACACATCAACTAAAGTTTAAAATATGATATCATAGTGGACCACCCCTTTAATTGAAGTAATTAGAAGTCTATAATCCCTTTAGCCACTAATTGTCAAAAAGTTTATCCATTGTATGTAATAACTCATGTAAGTAATATTAAACAGTTAACTTGCTGTGCCCATTAAAAGATTAAAACAGACGCTCTACTCCTTGTCACACTGCTATTATTATGATATATGGTGAAAACAACTGAAAAAATTATTTTGCCTCATGAAAAAACGCTTTGGTAGATAAACAGAACCACAGAGTCCCTTTGTTGTTTTTCACGCGACATTGAATATACGGTCTGAAATCGCATGTAGGTAACACTTTAAACAACATTAGCATGATTTCTTTGACAATGAGCGCTGTTGTAGTTTGATATTAGTTGTCTGCTAGTATGATTTCACTATTTGGAATTTGCAAACAATAGTTTTCTAATATTTTATTAAGGGAGCAAAAGTCAGAATGTGCGAATATAAAACCAACTTTACATCTATTAACTTGATATGCAACCAGTCTACAGAGTTTCCAAGTATTTCTTTGTTGCAATCGGGATATCACAATAATTAACCCGAAAAGCCAAAGCAGCGCAAGTTCTGTGGCTTCGCAAAAATTATAAATGCCAAACTCACCACAGATTAGAAGAAACACATGTAGAAACGATATGAACCAGATTACTCTTGTGTTTGCTATAAAGAAAACGCTAAATACATGCAGGTTCTCCTTTCTTTCTGTTTACTAATACTAAATTAGTCTGCAGGAATGAAAATAGGAGACTCCTTAGAAACAGATGGCCAACCAAAAAGTAACTCAGGGTTAAACAAATAGTGGCCAACACAAAATACATAAATTGCTTATACTTGAGTCCCATCTAACACTCATTACACTACAATTATATGGTATAAATACAGCACTACAACATAGAAAAGAGAGAGATCGATTTAGAATGTGACTTATTAGTTTTATAATGATTTGATCAGCTGACGTTTAAAATTATGCTGGGTTTTTCCTCTTTCAAGGGCTTAACATGTGGTCTCTGTCGCCATCTTTTGGATGAACAACGTCAACTGTCTTTTGTCTGCTCAACGACAGGCTAATGGCTGCCAACGCGCTGTCTCTGGCTGCGTCCGAAACCGTCTACTACTCAGTAGGTACTGCATTTGAATTTAAACGTACTACTCAGCCATTAGAAAAGTATGTTCTATACAGTATAAATGTGAAAAGTATGAATGGAATTTGGATGTACTACATCCGCCATTTTGTCATGGTCACGTGACCTACCTGCGTCAGTTGCGTCGCCTCACTTCTATTCATGAATTCTCTCACGGGGCATTATAGCGCAGCGTGCATGGGATGCGCACTTCAGAATCTCACCGGAAGTAGTAAGTCATCCGGGTACTTCTCGCCTACTGATTTTCGAATTCGATAGCTGCGTCCCAAATGGCACACTATACACTATGCACTCATGCACTATGTACTTATGCACTTACACACTCAACAGGATAGTACATGTATGTAGTGTTGTCCCAAATGGCACACTAATGTTTTTTTACTAAGCGGAAATTCAAACCGTTTCCCTGATAACGTTTGACGGTTGCCAAATCATTGAAATAAATGACCAAACTATCAAATAAAACCTGCCGTAAGTATAACCGCATTCACCATCGGGAGGCACTATAATCACTCTCGTAGGAGAATTTTGCTTTCACCATCCAAAATAAATAAAGTTATTCAACATGTGCGTCCGATAGCTCCGCCCCTTCCGCTACGTAAGCAAACCTGCGGTCGTTGAGTGCATGAAGTGTCCATCAGTACACACTTCATTATAGCGGCTGAATGAGTGCATCATCCGGGTAATTAAAGTGCACTTATTATTTTAAGAGTTTTCAGTGTGAACACACTACTTACACTATTTATACTACAAAATGGCGTAGAATAGTGCATAAGTATGCGATTTGGGACGCAGCTTTTGATTTCAGACATACTACTCGGCTCGCATACTGATTTTAGCATACTATATAGTATGGAAGTATGCGGTTTCGGACGCAGCCTCTCAGAAATTATAAATATTTAAAATATGCATTATACTACAACTACATTCTTGACAAAAACAATTAAATGTTTATTAAGTACAGTATGTTCTATGTTGTTTAACAGCAGCAATATTTGTCAAACTGTGGAGTGTCCTCTGCCTGTTGCTGTATGTGGGCAGAGAAATACAAGGGTGAAGGGTTAAAAAGACTGGACGAGTGCTGTTATTTGCAGAATATTGCATATATATTGCACTTTTATTGCATATATATATATATATATATATATATATATATATATATATATATATATAGGCGACGCAGTAGGCAGTGCTGTCCTGTCGCCCTACAGCAAGAAGGTCGCTGGCTCGAGCCTCGGCTGGGTCAGTTGGCATTTCTGTGTGGAGTTTGCATGTTCTCCCCGCGTTCATAGGTCCAAAGACATGCGGTATAGGTGATTGGGTAAGCTACAATTGTCTGTAGTGTAAGAGTGTGAATTAGAGTATATGGATGTTTCCCAGTGTTGGGTTGCAGCTGGAAGGGCATCCACTGCGTCGAGCATATGCTGGATAAGTTGGTGGTTCATTCCGCTGTGGCGAACCCAGATTAATAAAGGGACTAAGCCAAAAAGAACATTTATATATATATATATATATATATATATATATATATATATATATATATATATATATATATATATATATATCAGCATGACTTTTTTAGAATTACTTAAAGCATCTAATACCACAGCCTTTGCAATATGAGTGAACTCCATGGCCAAGATCTTACTAATTATCAGCAGTCCTGCCGAAATGACTTTAGTAATAAACATAAAAGGCACTCTCATTCAAATGTTATCTATTCTCTGCTGCCCATGAGAAGGCGCTCAAAGCAATGGCCCCTGTCCCGCGAGGGCTGCTCCACTGTTTCGTGGAATGTACCAACTCAGAGAACAGAGGGGTTTTGTGTTTATATGGACGTGCGCGCGCTGCGTGTAGTAACTTCAGAACCTGGACAGCGACCTCCGCGAGACAGGCGTCACATTTACCGAAGCGCACGGCGCCACGCGCTTCGACATGGCTTGAAAACCCGCCTTAAAGTGCACCACTGTAGTCTTTTGTCGTTGAAAAGCCGGAGTAAAACCGCTGAATATATCCACGCTGTGTGTCAGAGCCAAGAAGCGTCGGTTAGTGTGGGTCTCGCTCATCTAGAGGCTTCGCTCAGTGTGTGTGGAGCTGCTCCTCCGGACAGCGCGCGAGCGAAAAGGAAAAGTAACTGCGTCTCCGCTCATCTCACTGCACTCGAAGATGCAGCCACCCGCCGGGATCGGACTCAAGCTCTTGCTGTGGATTTTAAGCCACATCAGCATCTCTCAGGCAGCTTCTCCATCATCCCGTAAGTTGCAGCTGATTCAGTGACTCTTTTGCGGTGATGGGAACCGGGAGGAATCTTGGCACGCTGGGGTGCTTTAGTGAATAAGGTGGTTTTACTTCGCTGATGTAACCGGTGTTAGTTACTGTGTGAATTCTTCCGAAAAACTTGCATTTTTTGCAGAGTTGCATGCTTTTCATGTTGTCATTACATTACATTGCAGTTTATCACAGGCGGCAAAGAATGATTAGTCATTCGAGATAGGGATATAATATTTAGGTGGTTCAGATATTTAACCCAAAGGACGAGAGGGATATTAGCATTTTGGTTTCCATGCCCTGTATGTAATACGACGTTTTTTGGTTTGTCAAACCAGACCGGTGAAATTCAGAGGAAGCCGAGGAGTGTTGTATCAGTCTGTCTACCTACTGTAAAACTTTACTATGAAATTCCCATATTTAATATCTGTTTATAAATATACTGTTTATCCTTTTATTTTGTAAGTTAGCAGGTATTCAAGTCTTGCGGTTACAGTGTACTCCACTACTGTAACAGTAATAGAAAGGAAGTTTTATGAATGGATTTTTTGTGGATAATTGTAGTGTGCGTGATCAGATAGTAAAAATTATTTATTTCTGTAGTTACTTTTATTACTGTTAATTCATTCAGATAAAAAATAAAAATTTAAACATAATCATGAACAACTTTTTAAAATAATTAAAACACTAATACTAATAGAAAACAATTGCTTTTAAGAATAGTTTATTCTAGCTAACAAATAGTATATTTTTAATAAAATAGTTTTTTTTGCAAAATTTCAAATAAAATGTTTATTCTGTCATTAAACTGTATTAAACGTTAATTGTAATATTCTTATTCATAATTATAATGGTATTAGAATTACTTATTAATTATTAAATAAAATAAAAATATCTAAATAAAACAGAATAACAACTCTAATAGCATTAAAGATAATCTGTTATGTATAATTATTTTATGTTCAATATGGGCTATCTTGAAGCATCCTTGTAAATGTAAGTTAACCTGGACAGCTACAGTAGTTTTCATCACTTGTAAGCTATGGGAAAAAAATTCTGTAGATTCTATCACATCAAATTTATATCAGGTCCTGCTTAGGTCCTTAATACAATCCTTTACTTTTCATGTTCTGGTGGCGCTCATTAAAACTCACTCAGTGTTAAAATGCAAAAGTCCCCATTCTCCCCTCTACAAGTAAGCTGAAAAGGAATTTCATCACATAGAAATCTTTTGTGGATGTTATATATTAAATCAGATCATAAACCTGATGGGCAATTTCACTTTGGTCCTCATTCTTTTCACCAGTGATGTTCATTGAAACCCAGTGTTATGCATCACATCACATCACATCTGAACAAATTGGCAGGTTATTGTTCAGAATGTGGTTTGATGAATCATGTGTTTAGACGAAGAGCTGAAAGTGAGCTGCTGTCGTCCCTGCTGAGCTGCCCTTAACAGTGACACTTTACCTGACTGCCAACTCAGTGTCTGTTCAACTCTGAAACATTTAGCTGCTGCTTGGTGTTTCACTAGTGTTGTTTATGTGTCATTTTCTTTATACTTTTAATTTAATGCTTTGGTGGATTAGACTATTCTGTATTTTTATGTCTTTCATTTTTGTGTTGAGGGTGTTAGAACATAATGATATATTAGAAACACTTTTTTGAGTAGAAATATTTTCCCCCCAAACACATAATGCTGTGGAATTAGGCATGGGTTTTAATATAGCCTAAAGCGCCCACCACTTTAATATTACTACATAATTTAATTACTTGGCTAATTGCCTTGCACAGAGTTAGCACTGCAAAATCAATAGAGTCAAGGAGAAATAGGTTCTTAGAAATAATTGGATGGTAGGTCTTATAATATAAAATCCATGTTTGTTCTGCATCACCACCTAAAGCCGCTCACACTCAACCATTTTTCCAACTGTGAGAATTATGAATGACTGATTTCAACGTTATTGATTTATTGCACTCGCCCGCATACTTGCAAGTAAGAGAAAAGGTTTATCGCCAGACGGACTACAGGTAGTCAGGAATAATAAGATTAAGATTCTGGAATAGTCACTCGTTTAATAGACCGAAATAAGCAGCAGCCAAGACTCACTCCAATTAAAAAAAGCATGCCAAAACTATGATTAATCAACAACATTGTTAACCAACCAACAGACATTTTTTTAATTAATCTTTCCAGCTCTGTGGCTACATGTGGGAGAGAAGCGGAGATGCTTAGATAGTTGATTCTCCCGCTGACAGATGGATGGAGGTTTGAGATAAAGTTTGCAAATGTTAATTGAGCTGCAGAGGTTTTGGAATCTCTTTGTTAGCCAAGACTATCGGAGCATTTGATATAAACATCCATCTCCCTACGAGCTCTCGCGGGTCTGATTAAAAAGAAAAGGTAACTGGATTGATTTGGCTTATATGGAGGCTGCTGCTGAGAACTGAAATTTAGACTTTTTTCTTATTCACTTAAGTGTCGCATTTGTAATTAGTGCAGAAAACGGATGGCATTAGTGCAATTTCTTTAATCATGTCATCTACGTTATAAGCGCGGCTTGCTGTCACATTTTGCGCCTTTTCTGTAGCAGCCTTAGAAAGTCAAAGTGGCAGCTCGATGACCTGATCAGGAGCTATGTTATTTTAGCGGAATGTGAACATGTCAGTTTGGATGTTGCTCAGCGAGGCTTTTCTCGGAGGCTGAGACTTCATATAAGAATCATTTCGAGATGGCAATTAGACAAGACATATGGCTATTCTATAGGCTCTTCGTTGTGTATTTGATTCCACTTGATGTATTTTAATTCAGCACTCCAGTCAGCACTTGTAAAAGCATAGCTTGCTTAAAACAAAAGAAGTTACCCATAATCAACTAAATGAGTTTTTTGTTTGACAGATAGAAACAAAGCACTTGCAAAAAAGCACAGCAATTAAGTCTTCGACTATTACTGTGCAGTACAATGCAAGGAAAACACAGAAATTAAACCCACTCGTCTGGTTGAGTTCTTTAGTTGCACATCCTATGGGAAAACAAAGACTGCTGCCTCAGGATGTAACGCTTGGTCACCTGAGTTCAATTTGCTTATCCTTACAAAACATGTAGATGCAGCAAGTCAGTTTAAGTCTACTCTGTAAGGTGCACGAGCTGCCTTTTGCATTTATTTATTTTTATTTGTTTAGTTTTATCCTATACAACTGCTTTTCTCTACTTAAAAGGCATCTGTGCAAGGCAGTCACTAAAAGATTAATTCACTTAATTTCTGTAAGTAAATTGGGTATTAAGGGACCTTAAACAACAACTTGAATGCCGTGCCAAGCTGAAATAAGAACATTTGTCTTTGGCGGAGGTGCGCAGATTCTACAGTCTTCTTACTGAGTTGCATTTTTATTTTTGTATGACAGATTTTTAATTGACTTGAAGGGGAGCCGCTCTTCAGCAAAGCGGGCTGTCTTGTAGTAATCAAGATACGATGGTACACAAGGCCAAGTCAAGCTGACCTTTTAAAATGTTCTCTCAGAAATTGTTTGTTTCCTTTTGACATTAAGCATGTGCAATTTTTGTAGTGATCAAGACCTTTTGATAGTGGTCAGTACGTGTTACAAAAGAATGATCGTAGAGGATATGAGGATTTAGATCTATAGTTTTCTGAAGGGTCTAAATAAGATAAGTTGCTGTAATGTATTGTAAACTGTTAGGTATTATTTGGTGGTTGTTAATAAAGGAAGATGCATTTATGCTCTAATATGAAATATAAAGTTAATTAGAAAAGCAAAAAGAAAAGGAAACACTAGGGAAGAAGATGCAGTTCTGAGAAATGAAGCTGTATTTTAGAGGACTAATATTATAAAATCACAACAAAGAACAGTCAGACATACAGTATCAGAGGCATAATCACAATTCAGTGATACAATTGCAATAAAATTTGTGTAAAATATGGCTAATAACAACAATTATTAAATATACAGTGCTCAGCATAATTGAGTACACCCCATTTTGAAAATGAATATTTTTATCAATTTCTCAGTGAATATAGGCAATGTATTTTGGTGCATTTAAACAAAACAGATTTATTTAACAGATATATTTCATAAGATAATATTTTAGTCACAGAAAATCTTTTGAAATTAAAAGATAATACAATTAAATTCAAGCAAAATATTGCAAAAAAAAAAAATGCAACCTACAAAATTTCAACAAAATTTTTACTTTTTTTGTTTGTTTTGCTTCTCTTGATTTTTCCTCTTTTTTAAAATTTATATATAACATTTTTCTATAACATATAACGTGCGTGTACTAGTTTTTGGACTGCTATCATAAGTTATTTTGTTAGTTAAGCTACAGATTTAGCTTCAGTACTGATTAATCTAATGTATAATGTATTAATTTAAAATATTTGTGAGGGGTGTAGTTATATATGCTGGGCATGGCACAGTGAGAATTATGAGTAAAGTAGCAATCTTGTGATAACAGATAATTCTGTTTTAAGATGCAAAAATAGCACGTTTTTATAATAAAAAGTTGCACATTTGAAATATAAAGTAAGACAGTTTCAATAAAAATATGAGAAAATACCCAATTCACCTATAGCACGTCTTTGGACTTATGGGGAAAACCGGACCACCCGGAGGAAACACGGGGAGAACACATAGAAATGCCAACTGAGCCAACTGAGGCTCAAACCAGTGACCTTCTTGATGACAGCTCTACCCACTGCACCACCCCATATTGCAATATAAAACAAAATAAAAAATATTGCAATGTTAGATTTTTTCAATATCGTGCAGCCCTAATTGTTAGATCTACAGTTTAAAACAATGAGAAAACTGTGAAAAATGACAAAACTGTGGGAGTGAGAGTCAGAGTTAGAGAAAAAAACAATGCAATTATACAATATAAAGTCTAAGTTGCCTTTGGTAGATGCAGTAGAAACTTTCACTACAGAATCATCCCAATCAATCTAAAATGATAAATTCTTTCATTTT